CTAAGGGAGTACATGTGACATTGACACCAATGACCACAAATAGGAAATTACATAAACAATTAGAAATATTAAATAGCATGATATTCTATATAAATGACAAATACAATACAAATTGAACAAATACAATGGCTGCTGTGCTATTAAATTACCTGCCACATCTGTTGAGGTTGAAACCGACATGGAAGGAACAGCAGGATCAGTGGATGCAGGTGCTGGTAAGTGCTCCTCACCTGCAGAGGATGGACCTAATGAACGATGAAAATTAAATTATTATAAAAGTTAGCAATCTTATGTCATATTAGAAGGTAATGCAGTCATATTAAAAAAAATACAAAAAATAAAAGAATAAAACGCCTCACGAAAGGCATGGGTTACCCATATAACTATATTGATCGTTGAAAACTCACCTGCTGTATCATCAGCTGTAGCACTAGCATTTGGGGCTGGCGGCATTGGTTGTGCCCCACCTCCAAAATATTTCAACAGAGCTCCTAGGGGATGTTCATAAGAATATAGTTAATGGAACAGAATGTTATTGTAACAACGAATTAAACATCGAATTAAGCCATCTGTACACACAAAATCTTAATCTATAGCCAAGTGAGGTACTATGATATCGGAATAGAAGTGAAGTGTGGCCAAGTATGGTGACCCATACTCGGAATTTGTGCTCTGTGTGTGTGCACTTGGATGGGTTAAACGCACAGTAGTGAACACACACACACCATGAAAACACACCCAGAGCAATAGACAGTCATATTGCTGCGGCGCCCAAAAGAGCAGTTGGGGGTTCAGTGCCTTGCTCAAGAGACTCACCTCAGTCGTGGTATTGAGGGTGGAAGAGAGCGCTGGTTATTCACTCCTTATTCTTAACATACCTTTATCTTGCCGTTTTCTCTTCCTCTTTTTTTTATTTTATTCTCTGAACCAGGAGGTCCTTTGACAGTTTTGCTAATACTGTAAGGGAACAAAAACACAAGTAGGTCACAGAACATTTCTGCATTAAAGTAATTAAAGCAACATTAACTTTACCTGCAAAAAGTACTAAAACAAATGCAACCCTAACAAATGGACAGACTACAAAAAGGCAACAGAATTTAAGATTATAAAAAAAAAAGAAAAAAAAAAAAGCATAAGGCATGGACTTCAATTTAAAGATATATATATATAAATAAATTAATTACAACCACACTGAGAAAAAAAAAGGGGGTCTTTAAAATAGTTTTCCACAAGCCCTGTCAGACGGAGGCAAGCAGCCCAGCAAAAATGTGGAGAACCTTGCAAGCAAAGTAGTTTGAAAAAAATAAAAGAATTTAACATTGTTAATATTGACTTATTAAATTCAATGCACCAGTGACCAACCATCCCTAAAGCTTTTTAGAAGTGCACATTGCTAAAGACTTAATTTTGCTAAATAAACCACATTGCTAAATAAATAATTTCACACCCCTACATAAGTATAACTGGCTTTTGATATGCACCTGCAGGTGACTGACACTGCCTTCTGTTCTGCTCCTTACCTATTACTACACCTAACTTCGGTTGATCAAAGGCTGCATTGACCCATGGCTGTATTATCCATAAACTATGACAATATAGTTTATCGGAGTTAGTCTTATTATAATTTGTATTATAATAAAGTATATAATGAAATGCTAATCGACATAGTATTCTAAGCAGTGATAAAGGCTATGAAATGTTGCGTGCCTTATTTGGTGTAAGAAGCCACATCATCTCACAGAAGGATTTACGGTCACACTCAACTGATGTTATGAACGGAGTCTGGCATAAGAACATATTGAATGTGGTTCTCACGCGCTCTCAAATGGAGCAGCATTTACTACACAGAGCCATAGTTCACCGAGAAGCTACGCAAACAGCTTTCATAAAAATCGCAAAACAATTTCTTCAATTTCATAATCTCGCGATTAAATCGTCTGGGATTATGAACGCGATTTTGTGTAGCTTGTCCGTGAACTACAGCTCTTTGTACTAAATGCTGCTCCATCTGAAAGCATGTGATGGAGACTTACTACGGATTACAGAACCGGATTTACTGACAAGATGCGCATGACAAATCGCATTCAATTAATAGTGCATCCTTAATTTGAAAGATGCCAGATCTTCTAATCATAACAGATCTCTGGCTAATTTGGTTCTTCAAACAAATTTGTGGATTATTAAAATATCTGAATTAAGTGGTCTAAGATTACTGCGCGTTCTCGTGTTCCCCGAAAAGGGCAGATGTATCGATACTCGAAACCACGATCAGCAATGCAGCGATTGGCTGGCGGCAGGACAGCAACGTAAATGACATCATATAATTAAAGACACCTGATGAAACTTGACTAACTTCTGGACCTTTATAAAGTAAACCACCACGTGAACAAAACTGTTATAATAGATCAATTAAATGTGCACGGTTTACTTTTTTTTTTTTTACATGATTTCTAGTATTTGTACATGCTTTACATTTTTATTTCAATGTTGTAATTAGCAATTCATGTAATTTTTTATCTTTGAAGCAGATTTGTTGTGACAGCATTAATTTAAGTTTCTTAAGGGTCAAGACCAAGTTATCTGCATCTCCGGCGCTTCAAGCCACGTACTCCCATAATAGCCGTCATTACTCAAATTAATGCACGACTCCGATTAACTGTATAACGTGTGTACGACTCAAATGCAATTATAAAAGTAATTATCACGAACAAATCTTTCAATGAGTAAAACGGTCTGTGTCCATAGTATTATAGATTACACAACATTATATTATTTTCAAATTAATTTAATTATCATCATTTAAAATTATTGTCCCCGGATTAGTAGGGTACTCTTGTAATAAATTAGCAGTGGCTGGGATAGATTTTAAATCTCAACTCCACTTAAAAGGATGCAATCTAATCTTGTTTACATGAAATAAGCCTGCTCCAGAGCAGGTTTAAGCTCACGGACCTGTTGCTATGACAGCAAGTCCAGGATGAGCTTCGACTAACCAAATAATCCAAGATCATACCAAATCGTCAACAATCAAATCCAGTTAACGACGTACGAAGAATGGGCCCCAGGTCTCAGTTGAGTTCACTTGAACGTTCTCCTCATTTCCAATGGAAAGTGAAAATTAAGCTAAAAGACCTTGGACCTCTCCAGAAGTCATCTGAATAAACCTCACGTTAAAGTAAACTACAAGCTGACTGCCATCAAGGATAAGAGCACATTTAGCTCCTCCAAGATGCCCAGCTGACCGGAGGACAATATGGCACATGAAGTTAGCATTGAAAAATCGCATGAAATTCAAAAAGGAGTTATTTGCATTGCCCTTCCTGGTTTTGATGTGGGCGCTGGGACAAACTGCAGATGTGTCAGCAGGTCCTGTAGTAGAATTCACTCTGCTCACCTTTGGCTTGACAGAACTGGTTTCAGCTTCAGGGCTATGACTGTGCCAGACAGCAGTAAAAACAAAGATATGGGGGATGTGCACAGAAAAACAGTGTATAGAGGGAAAAAAAAAAAAAAGCAGTGTTCTGTACGCCAAACAGGTGAACGCTCTTGGTTCTTTAAACTCCAAATACAAAGCCCATTGTTACAATCTAAAACTGACATTTTGACGGAGTCAAACGAAGCTCATGTTGAAAGTGCAAGCTGTAATTTCTTACCTTCAGATGTCAACCAGATACAGCTGGGCTTGGATTAAAGTGTTTACACTATTTGGTAAACAGGGATGTATTGAAGTCACATGGCGAGAACAACATTCACCCTCATTGAAGAACTTAAACTGGAAGAAGTGTTTTCTTTCTGAAGAGCATCTTGAACCCAAGCAAGACTGGTTGACAAAAGAGACTTTACCTTGGTCCAAGGCTCAAGCACACCATGAGAGCAAGAGGCTGGAGGGTGTTTCATTAGCTGACCTGTTGGTGCAGGGACTGATATGGTCAAGGAAGAATTTAAATGGCGAAGCAACCAATACTTACAACATCTCAGTAGGTGGTTAAGTTGCATAGAACTTGCCAACAGCCACCAAGTCAAGGAGTTGACCGCATCAAGAAACGCATTTTGGCATGATTAGGAAGTCATGGCATGATACTTAACCTGCCCAGTTGAGTGAGAAGTATGGGAGAAAGGTCCATAGAGGGCTAATACAGTTGCAGTGTTATCTGGAAACCAATATTTGTCAAAGCCTGAATGTTGCATCGGCACTGACTAGCAGAGATAAAAAACAGGGATGACAGCTTTGTTGCTGGCTGCCCTACATAGTCAGTCCAAAAGAGAGTCAAAGGCTGTGGTTGAGTACCAAGACAGCATAGATATCAGAGAGAGCATTTGTCTGAGGCATTTAGACTTTAATAAACAGGAAATTAAAGAAACAGACAAAAGCGGGTTTAAAAGTCACTTTAGAGACACTTTAACTTTCTCTATAAATATATGAAAAAGCATACACAAGGTGCCACTGACCATCCATGCTACTACATCCTCTCAGCTTAAAATGGAGGGATATAGTGGTGGCTAGATCCAGATATAGTGGTGGCAGCACAGACAACGCAGTTTAATATCAATAGATGTCAGTATAGGGTCTAAAACTATGATCACATCAGTGATAAGATGTAAGAGTCATGCTGACGCTTAGAGAAAAATAAAA